TGTACACCGGCTGGTAATCCTGTCTGTACACTTGCCTGTATGCTGTGTAATACGCCGTCCTGTTGAAATGAAATGGTTCAAATGTTCAGATAAAGTTGGGACAAATAACTAAATACTGCTGCTGTCTAGATTTCTACGCTAGGTCAGGTTAGCATTCAAGCTACGTTTGTGTGCTAAGCCAACCGTTAGTGCTGCAGTGCATGCTGGGAAATGGAGCACATTCCTGCTTATTGACAGCTCTCTTGTGAATACAGAAGACCTTGGTCAACACTTTAGGCTAGCGTAAAGGATTTGTATAGCTGTAGAGGCCAGGGGAGGGGTCTTAGAGGAAATACAAGTGAGGAAAACTTATGCACTTTATAATGTACAAGGTAAGGTTTAAGTTATTTTATACTACGTACCCCAGCGTTATAGGTAATGTAGGTTACATGTGGCACCTAATGGTGAAACTGTTTGAAGTAGACGTTGTATGGAGGGAAGCAACATTTCCCAGGCTGTGGGCAGAAGGTGCTGTGTTTAAGAGTGACACTGTCAGGGTCTGACTTCACAGAAGTGAGGCTGTCCCTGTACTTTGGGGACCCTCTCATTCAGTCATTATGCATTGTAGGGGAAAAAAACTTTTGCAGAGTGTAATTGTTGCCCCGGCTGCCATCAAAGCAGCCTTTGACTTTGTGACTCGCCAAGTGATGCAGAGAAATAGAGCATAAAGCAGCTGAGCGAGGAGCTTTACGACATAAAGGCAGGAGAAAAAAAGCTTGCATTAGTACGCTTCTTCAAAGGAATGTTGGCAGCAGAGATGCACGAGTGCTAATAGTAGGTATGCCCGCTGAAATGGGGTGGGGGGTTACACCTTGCACTTAACTGTGCAGCAGAGCTGTGATTACAAAACAAGAAGTAAAAAAAAAGAGGAAGGAGGAAGTCAGGAAGCAACGTCTCATCCTGTTTGGTGAGGAGTTCAATGAAAACGCCACGACCTCTTGGATAATTGATTTTGGCTGCATGTGTCACTAAGACTAAAGAAACCCATCCATAAAAGCTTTGCCCTAGCTTAATCAGCAAAGCATCCCCTGCAGGTGCGGTTGGAAGTGTTTGTTTAGGACCAGACTCGGGGGCTTTGTGTGCAGACAAACTGCTAATGAGACGAGTTATTCACCTCCTCTCGTATCCCATGCACCATGATTGGCCCACACAGCCCTGCTTCCACACTTTAACCATGCGTGTGAAGGCCTGCACACACGGCTGCCTCTGGGCGACCAGCGTCACCTCCCTCTCCGTGCACACATTGGGCCTGGAATGAAAACAGAGGGAAAAATACTTAACATGTCAAAAGAAATGTTCTGCTGTGTTTCTACAGATGTACGTATGACAACAGGGCTAATTTATGAGTGCTTCGGGAAATGTGACAGAGATCCATGGACGCAAACTATGTCAGACGTTTTCATCAGGAAAATGTTTCAAGACATTTCACTCGCAGTTACAAAGTTTCAGTAATGTGTGCTGCGACAGTCCATGTTACAAGTCGATCACATGACCGCTGTCAGTGTGACTAGATAGCTTGGATTAGCCTGCAGCTGGCGTGAAGAAAATCTAAATTTAAGCATTTTTGTCTTTTAATATATTAATAAAAGCCCTTCTCCTTCAGTGGCACCCAAAAGGGTGGCCAGGCCATCCCTGGCCACCCTTAAGACCAATGTTTTTTATGTATCTTTTTACTGTTCACGCAAACTATAAATTCAAATCAGACAAATATAAAACCCAATAAAAATATGCAATTAAAGAGTAAAAATTATCAGATGTTTTTAAAGATATCTATTAATCTCTCCTTAACCCTTTTTAAAAACAAAAAGATTAAATCTCTAGTTTTGTCCAATAACAAATTCAACTTTCTGTGGATTTCTAGAGGTTTTTAGGCTGCAACTAGGTATTTTAGAAGGAATTTGAACCATAAAGTGGATTTTTTTTTGGGCGGAACATATTTTCTCATTTCTGCTGTGTTCCAGATCATGTTACTCTCAGTGACATAAGTGATGCTTTTCAGAATTTTAGAGTAGACTTTAGAGTCTTGCTTTTATTTTGATACCAAAACAGCTCAAATACACCCTTGTAGTATGAGATATACTCAATTCATTTTGGGTAAGTCTTTCTCTAGAAAATCTCTGAAAAATGGCCTGGGGTTCAAGAGGTTAAACAACATTCCAAATAACCGTTCTAAACGTCTTTCTGAAAATATGTGTTCTTTAAATTTGAGATAAGCATGTTGGATGCAAAATGAAATTAAAAAAAAAAAAAGGAGAATGCAGTTCATCACCACAGGCTAAACTCGCCTAGTTACCACATGAACCAATCTGGCCACCCCTATGAAAATTATCAGGGGGCACCACTTTTGTCCTTGGGGACATGTTAGTGCCACAGCAGCAATCACATTCACAACAGGTGCAAAGGCTGTAACGTTGGACAGAAAACATGATACATGCAAGAAATACTTGAAACATTCTGTTGAAGTTACCACATTAAAAATAAGATATGGTATAACAGCAGATTAGAGTGAGAAGATGAAAGGAGAAATCTGCAAATGAGGCATGAATGCGTGCAAGTAGACCAACTACAGAACTGTGCAAAAACGAAAGCAGCAGGAAGGAAAAACTTTTCACTGCTTTTGTTGGGAGCAGCCATAGACTTTAACAGCGGATGGGAAGAAGGACCTCCAGCAACGCTCCATCATGCATCTAGGATGCAGCAATTTGTCCCTGCAGGAGCTGCACAACAGCAAATGCCGTTTCTCCAAACTGAGGTCATTCAGGGAGCTTGACAGGTAAAATGGTCATTAGAGCTTTTACACAGAAACTATTCAAAGTTCCCCAAATACACAATTGAAGTTTATCCCACAGATCTGCAAGGCACAGAAACAAGAAATTCAGATGTGCTTCTTTAGTTTATTTAAGCTGCATAACAAGTACAACCCCCCCCCCCCCCCCCCCCCCCCCCCCATGGACAAGCGGGTTCAGAAAATGGATGGATGGGTGGATGGATGGAGGTGATGAACCCTCTAATCTGATGAGCACTTAGCCTGCTGGGTTACCATCAGACCCGTCCTCACATCACAGAGAGGCTGGTGAGAAGATCAGCAGCTGCTCATCTCAGACACCACTGATCACCATCACCCCCAGCTGTATTTAGAGAAACTCATGGTGCAAATTCAGGTTTTAGACCTTTATTTAAGAGTCTTATAGAAAATCCTGGAACTATCAATTAATTAAAGACACTCTGCATGTAGTGCAGATGTACGATCAACTAGGGCAACACATTTACTTACATGTGAGGTCTGAGATGACTGGAAACGCTGTAAGTCGACGCTAGAGTCTCTTTAAAAAATATTAGAAAAAGAAAAAGAAGACTCTCCATTTTCATCTTCATGGGCAGATTTTAAAAAGTGTGAACCGCACACAGACTCATGTGAGGGCGTCTCCAATCGCCGCTTGGATAATTGAACAATCCCATTAATAATGAAGTAAAAACGCTTCGAGACGCTCAAATGGTCCGTCCTCACGGGGACACAACATCCATCAGACGCGCCTCAACGCCGGTGTTAGAAAGTGGCTGAGAAAAAACGCAGCTTACGCTCCACTCAAAGCAGATGTTGGGTTCGCTCACGTGCTGCTGCGCGCGCGCAGCATCCATTCAGTAATGGAAAAGATTTGAGGAGAAGAGGAGAGGACAGGGAGGGTTCTGAAACGCGCACAGGAAGACATGTCAGAGATTATTGGAATCGTGTTCGTTTGACTTGTCGTTTGGGTGCGTGCGTAATTGCGCATTGTGCACACAGAAACCCGGAGACAGCGCGCGCAAAGTTCGCAGATCTGGGGTTCATGTCAACCATGGAGGAACTGGCGGTTTGTGTTTGCCAGAAGCAGCCAGTGGACGTTTTGCAGACAGACAGCTGATGGGCGGTCAGGAGCCAGCAGTAACCAGCGCTGCTCCCCAAACAATGCGTTCATTACCCTCATGTGTGTTCATGACCCGAAAGAGTCGCGGGTCAGAGCAGTCCGTGTATCCTGCATGTTGTTTCTATCAGCTCCGACATATCAGAGCTCTTCTCAGACGTGTGCTTCCAAAAACGATTGTTCTCTCTGCAGCAAACTAATTCCACCTAATGTCTAACAGTTTTTTAAATCACAATTTTATTCATTTATTTTCATTTAGACCATATTTTTGATCGTTTTTTAAATCTTTTTTTTTGTACTTTACTCTTTTTTTGTTTGTTTGTGGGAAGCGCCTCGTGATTTTTATCTTGAGCATGCTATGAGGTCGTTTTCTTTCTCAGTCGCATCTCATTGCTTATTTAAGGCTCCTGGGAGCTAGAAGGAATAAAACCCTTCTCACAACAGCAGCTCATTTGGCAATGAAACTGAAAGGGGCATTTCAAATAAAATGAACAAATGTTTACTCAGACCGAAATAAAGTTTGCAATTTCCAAGAAAAACACCTTTAGGACATTTTCAACAATTTGGGGATCCATATTTTGCCTTCTTGTTTACGTTTGTGTATTAATTTATTTGTTTCTGGTAAATGTTTTTACATAGTGCTATACATGTGCTTTACAAATAAATATGATAAAAATTGCAACCCTCCATATTTTCTTTGCAGTCCCGGTCACCGGTAATGTGTGATCGATTACAGCAATGCTGCTTTCAGCTTTAAAAACAAAGTATCATCCAATTTGTAACACTCCTCTTTGGTTCAGCTCTAAAAGTTTAACATGTTTTACAGTAACTGATTTGCTCTTCATAAAATTTGTTCTGTGTGATTTATGGGAAGGAAACCTGGAACTCCCTTAAAACGATGAGCTAGTGACACCTTGTGGTCAGAAGTGGCAAGTACACTCAAAACTTCATTTAGTTTAACGAAGCTTGAGCAAATATTTACACGAGTCTCGCAACAGGAAACCGACACAAAATGACCTTTGTACTGTTTGTTTGAAAAAATCCGAAAATTAACGAATTAGCCATTTGTATATTTTACGTTTTGTACCAGTTGAGTAACTTTGCGACGCTCCCTTCTTTTTACCCACGACCTTTGACCTTCGTCACGCGCTTCCTGTAACATGCAGTGGGTAATAACAAGTGGCATCGGGACACTCAGACACGCTTACAGTTTGAAAGCCGTGCTCGTGAACTTGCCCAGGTCTGTAGCTTGTAGAAACATGTCGTCCGCAGTTAAAAGACCGGTTACCTTGTTGGGAACCATGGCGTTCGGCGGGCGAGCTGACGCCGAGCAGAGCCGGGAGATGGTGCAGGCTTTCCTGGACAGGGGACACAAGCAGGTGGACACAGCGTTCATGTACGTGGAAGGAAAGTCGGAGACCATCATAGGAGACATGAACCTTCCTAAAACAGGTGTGTTATGGAAGGTTTTCACATGTGGAAGCCGAGTTTTACACACGATGGCGTCACTGGTTTAGTTGGTATTTATTCAAGAGAAGTATTAATATTCAGCAACTTTCTCCTTGATTGACTGTTTTAGTCGCTTAAACCAGTGGTATCCAATCTTGGTCCTCAAGGGCCACCGTCCTGCACTATTTAGTCGTTTCCCCTGCTTCAACACATCTGATTCAGTGGTTTAACCATCTGTTTAACTTTGTCTTCAGGCTCTACAGAAGCCTGTTAATCACCTGTGAATTTAAACCAGGTGTGTTTAAGTAGAGACGTCATAAACAGGCAGGATGGTGGCCTACGAGGACCTGAATAAAGCGTTTTAGTGTGTAGTTCCTAAATTTGACCGTAAGGTGTCAGCAATGTAATAGTTTACAAAATGTGCCAAGGAGTTCCTGCGTACAGCTGATATTTGAGGTCTGTTTGATGGAGTAAAACTCTTACAGCAGATTCATGGCTTTGCGCCTACCTACAACGTTTTACTACACCTGTGCCTTTAGATAGAGATAATGTTCTATTTAAGGTGTTTTTCTTACCATCCAGCTATTTGAAGTCTATTTTAGTAAGACTGCACCACCATGAGCAGTCTTCCTTTTGGAATTCTTTAAAAACATCAGGAGTTGTTATGTTTGCAGAGTTTGTCATGTTGGCTGTAAAATTAGAATTTAAAATATAAAAAATTAAATGTTTATCTTTGGAAGTTTTTCCAGACAACTTTATACATTTGCCCTATTTGTTGCCAAGTCAGTTTTGAGCTGAAATTCTTTACCCTAACCCTTATCGATGGTTTTCAGGGAAGTTTTAATCCAGTTGTGTTCTGCTGAGGCGAATAAAATATCAGTTTACCCAGGATATTACGGTATTATTTCCCCAGTGAGCATAGCTACAAAGGCTAATCCCTGGGATGGAAAGACGCTAAAGCCAGAGAGCGTGCGGTCCCAGCTGCAAACCTCCCTGCAGAGGCTGCACACTGACTGCGTGGACCTCTTTTACCTGCACGCTCCTGATCATCTGAACCCCATCCAGGAAACTCTGAGGGCCTGCAATGAACTTCACAAAGAGGTCAAGAGCTGAGTCTAATTGACTTGTTTGTCTTCAGTTTTAAACATTACATTTGGGCATGATTTAAGGTCAGAAATATCTCCCCTCAGGGAAAATTCAAGGAGCTTGGGCTGTCAAACTACGCATCATGGGAAGTGGCTGAAATCGTGTGCATCTGCAAGCACAACAATTGGATTGTCCCCACTGTGTATCAGGTACTTCTCTCAAAAAATATAATCTATTGTTTTTAAAAATGAAACATGGAGTTAAATAGTTTCCAAGTTTAGAGGTTACATTTGATCTTTTTCTGAATGCTTTCCTTTAACAGAGAAAACAGCAAAATATGTTCTTTTGTGTGACTTTTAAAAAGGAAAAATTAATTTGCAGAATATGGGATTAGACTATAATTCCCCTCATGTCTGAACTGCTTCCTGTTGGTTCAACAAAATCTGATGCAATTAAAATGGACAAAATTAGGCTTTTTTTTAATATTCACTCAAATTGTTCATGTTAAGTCAGTAATTTATCCCGGTTGGTTAATTGCACCCAAACTTTGTGAGAATGTCAACTTTCTACAGGGAATGTACAACGCCACAACAAGGCAGGTGGAAACGGAGCTGCTGCCGTGTCTGAGACACTTTGGAATGAGGTTTTACGCATACAATCCTCTTGCAGGTACGCCGCCTTTAACACGTTGCATGCTGCTAAATAAGCAGTTTTCAGTTGCAGAAACCTTTAGTCCTACAGGAGCCTAATTGTTGTGTTTTGCAATAATTAATGTGATTAAAATCCTGCACCCTGATGGTTTTTGTGGTCATTTACAATTTTCTCATGTACCAATTTTAAAAGGTTCATCATACAAATTAAACATGCAATGGGAAATCTGGCCCACAAATTCACACTTTTCAGGACGAATTCTTTACAAGCTGCTGTTGAGCATCCTATCAAAATCTGTCAGGATTTTTGTTTTCCATTAAAATGAGTCGTGAGGGTTGACTCCTCCCCCTCCCAGGTGGCCTCCTGACAGGGAAGTACCACTACGAGGACAAAGAAGGCTCTCAGCCTTCAGGACGATTCTTCGGTAACAGCTGGGCTGCAGCTTACAGAGACAGGTGAGAGGTCGGCTGTTTCATCTCCGGTTACTGTTAGATGTTTTGTTTTTACTGCCCCTCCTTTCTGCATCAGATACTGGAAGCAGAGTCATTTCCAGGCCATAGATGGGGTTTTCAAGGCTTTGGAGACCGCATATGGATCAGAGAAACCCTCCATGACTTCTGCTGCCATACGCTGGATGTACCACCACTCCCATCTCAAGGTACCCACTTCCTGTTGTAGCTCAAAGTTCAGAAACCAACCAGCTTAAAGGTTTTAGTGGCATCTTTTACTGTTGGTGCATTCCTCGTCTCACCACCAGATGGCACTGAGTTTATTTTAGTTGGTCCAAATAAATCTGTGGGTTTCTTCTCTAAACTCCATTTCTAGGGCGATCTTGGAGATGGAGTCATCATCGGCATGTCAAACATGGAGCAGCTTCAGCAGAACCTGACTGCAGCAGAAGAGGGTCCTCTGGATCCCACGGTGATCGATTCCTTCAGGGAGGCCTGGGACCTGGTGGCCCACGAGTGCCCAAACTATTTCAGATGAGGAAAGGGACTTCGTCGGGGGGACTTGCTTCCATTCTTCACCAACTCGAGACATTTCAGAGAAAACTAATCTGCGTAAGCGTTGCATTAAATCACAGATCGTTTAACTGCTGATGAGGAAACACGTCTTTGTATAATGTAAAATTCTTTACCGTGTATTTCTGTTTAAAAAATAAAGTAATTTGTATCAAGCACAAATATGACAGGTGTGGTTTAAACTTGGATTTAAAAGAAAGTCTCAGACAGTAACCAGAACCAACACTGGACCTGGACAAGAGGGTCACTGAGGTCAGGATGAAGGTCAGATGTGTGGGCTTCAAATAATCTTATAAAACAAATTAGAACATTGTGACAGGAGCTAAACTAAAAGTCCATTTGCTGCAGAAGTGACGTCCTCTTCAGACGTTTTACACATCATCATCCTCCTCATCCTCATCTTCCTCCTGTGCAGGCTTTTCCTCCCCGGCCAAGTTTTCAAACTCACTCGTCTCCGAGTTCCACACACACTTGATCTGCACTTTGAACTCTGCCATCTCCATGGCAAAGAGTTTCTGTAAATAAACAAAATAATCAAGAGATTAATACAAAAACACATCCCGTGTCTTCATCGGGCCGTCAGGAGGAGAACTCACCAGAACACGAGCCTGTTCAGGAGTTAGAATGTCTCCTTCTTTGCAGACATCATGGTCTTTCAGCAGCGTGACCACTCCTGGAAGGAAGGGTTAATGGGCGTGACCGTTTGCAGCAGAAGCTGTGACTGCTTTGCTCCACCCCGGTGGTGCAAAGATCGACGCATGTGGGTTTTTCTATTGTTGCTATCCAGATGTTTCCTACATTATATTAATGCTAAAATGACACTAATAACAGTGGAAGGACAACATTTCTGAACCTGAATTTAACCAACTGTTGAATCTGAATGTTGTGCACCAGCTCAGTATCAGAATCAAACTTTTAGTCAAAGTTAATCAAACATCAGTAAAAAGAATTAAATAGAAAACAGGTAAATAAAAAAAGAAATGCATTTAGAAAACGTATCAGATGTTTTTTAGGAACTTTATACATTCAAATAAACCTGCTGCAGCACCAGAGTGCCCATGGATGTGCCGTTTTAAAATCCGCTCAACTACAGATATGTCAGCTGATGCAAAAATGTATAAAAACAAAATGGTAAATGTCCCCTCCATTTCTCTTCCTGATGGTGTAAAATCCTACACCTAACCAAGAAAACCACACTGGTGATTTGTTGTTGACGCTGGACTTCTGCACATCTTCAACAGTGAAGTAAGAACCCTCTGACTCTTCTCACCTTTCTTTAGAGCCGTGGGAAGCCCCAGCTGTCTGAGCTGAGGCTCCATTGAGTGAGGAAACTGATCAAGAGGACCCTCTTCCAGTGTTATGTCCATCTTAGCCTGGTTGCCTGCACGAGCATAGTCCATCTCTTTGAAATGATCGAAGTACCTGCAGGAGAAGACCAGCATCTGAGTCAGCTGATGAACCACGTTTAGAGAACCACTGCAGCAATAAAAGCCTAAACAGACTCACTCTTGTACTTCGTCTTTTGTTTTGTTTGTGAAAAGCACGCCGACCTCTCCACACAGATACTTGCTGACCTGAACATCAGAACCATAAAGAGTTTTAATCTGCAGCAGATTAACGATTATTATTCAGGATTATTGAATCTTTTCCCCCATCTCAAATTCACCTGACAGGAGTGTCTTCTTACCTTATGCAAATTATCTTTGTATTCATCGGTTTGTCCTTTTCCCAAAGCGACAATCATGACTTTGTTTTTGCCGAAGAAGAACCTGTGGCACACAAACGAGAGATGAGATGGGTTTGGTCAAACACTCATTTTCAGAAAGTATCATTGAGATAAATCGTTAAAATGCAATTGTTCACCAGAGGGCTTGAAGCTTTAGGATCCATATCAAGTGCTTCCAAGGGTGTTTCACCATAAAATATTATTATTGACTTTGTGAAACAAAGGTAGAGTTTAGCATACTCGTTCTTATTTCTGCTCATGTCTGTTACATTTAACCCAAACTCTGATCTGAATTAAATGTTGTGCTTCTCAAAAATCTTCTTGTGCTTTAATGATCATTTACTGGTTTCATCACTGCACCTTCAGCACTATATAAGATCTGGTCCCAGTCAATCTGATCAGAGCTGTTTTAGGTTAAGCCAAGCCTGCCCCAGTTACCTCAGATACTCTCACACACACGCACGCACTGTTTTTTATGCTGCATCTTCTGCAATGTAACCGCTCACCCTTTAACTTTGCCCCTTTAGTTTATTCTTACATATAATTGTGTATTTAAATTTGATCACATTTTATTAATGCATTTCAATTCTGACATTAAAATCTGCTCATTTACGCTGTCACACAGATTTTAATAATCTTACTAAGCTTACAACTGGAAACCACATTGAACTGCCTCTGTGTATGAAATGTGTTAAACAGAAAAAGCTTTAGTGTCATGAACATAATACATTAAATGCTTGCTAAATTAAGTGAAAACAAGTTATTAAAGCTCATTCTTTGAGGCTGGGTGTGAATTTCTTCTACCTGAATCTATTCCTTTTTGTTAAAGATGGGGTCTTGGGACTCCGAATATAGGCAGTTGTTTACATTGTTCAAAATAAGATGAAGTCCACAAGCACTTTAGTATGAAGTCTGTGATTTTATTTAAACAAATTATTTATAAAAAATATTTATTGTGTTTGTTCAATTAGTAAAAAGCCTTTAAAAACAAACTAATATGATGTTATTAAAACGAGTTGCTTTAAATGTCCTACAAAGTCGCACTGGTGTACAGGTAAATCAGCTAATATGTAATACCATTACAAACTTCGGATGATTCCCACCCACCGCTACTGTAGTTTAACTGGTCACGTGACAGCAAATGATTCACTCATTAACTCATAACTTACTAAAAATAAACTAATTTGTATTACCTGCTGTGTTTCCATGCTGTCCTGATGTCTTTAAGCTTGTTATTCCTCATATTTTCAACTGAAAATATAAACAAGTATCTGTAGGTGTCCACACATTTCCGTAGCTAAAAGAGAAGATCGGATGGAGAATTTAAATGCATTTAGCCAACGCCAGTCTGTGACAGCAGATCGGGGGGAAAAAACATAAAGACTCACCTCCTCGATTAACTTCTGCTTTGATTCTAAGCCCTTCTTGGTGGTTTTAGTTAAGGAAACTGAGAAGAAAATGGGGGAAATAATTCAGTTTGATGCCTAAAGCAACGCGACTTGCCATGATGAAGCTAGCATTAGCTTGTAGTGTACTTCCCTAGCAGCATTTATATATCAGTAATACATTTATTAGACCAGAGACTTGTTTAAAATAGATGTCGGTGTAATACGCTGTACTTAGTTAAATATGAAAGCGTTTTGGCTTACTTTTCTTGTCTCTCTTTGACTTCGGCATGGTTACCCACAGCAGGCGCACACGTGAAAGAAAAAGGACCCCAAATGTTTCTGTTCAGTGAAGGCAGTCCCAGAGCGCCTGTTTAAAAATGAAAATAACATATTTTAATTACTAAAATGTTGGCTTTCGGGCGCACTTTTTCAGAGGTTCAATTGTGAAATGTGGTCATTAATTTCTTTAACCTTACTATTTTTTTATTTGTAAATGTTAGATTTTTGTCAAAAGTGTGGCCAAGTCACTGCTTTGCAAGTCACAAGTAAGTCAAGTCCAAGTCAAAGACAACCAAGTCCAATTATAAACAAAGAGCTGCTGCATTTAGAAGTACAAGATCAAACCCAGAACGAAGAATTATTTATGATTTTTGTCCATGCCATGCCACTTTTGTGCTAAAATATCAAATATGCTCAAGTCATTGTCAAGTCAACAGATGTAAGTCGATTCAAGTTGCAAGTCATTGGTGTTCAAGTCCGAGTCAAGTTGCAAGTCTTTATAGATTTTATCAAGTTAAGTCAGAAGTCAGTAAAATAATGACTCAAGTCCAAGTCATGTGCCTCGAGTCCTCACCTCTGTTTTTTTCCATGACACTTCTTTTGCAAAATTGGGTGGTCACTAGATGTGTTTTTAATAAAGCTGTTATTTTAAATGTCTAGTCTATATGTGTAGCTACTTTGTCCATTATTCTACTTGTTTTTCTTATTGAATGCAGTGTCACAAGCTTAAAACAAGACACACCAAATAAGAAAGCATAGTTTTGTGTGACTCTGGTACACACAATACATCTGAAATATGAAACTTTCATTGTGTGAAAACTTCTTGCTATGACACAGTAAAAGCTTTCAACTGCCTCAAAAACAGTGATGTCATTGGGATTATGAAGGTAAAATGAAGTGTGCAGTTGAAAATATTAGAACTGATGGAAATCCACAAACAACACTTAATAATGACGGAGATTTTATTTAATCATCTGAAAAAGTTTTGTGCATATTTGAGCTGGTCATTTAAAAAATCTAAAGGTCTATTTTTATCAAGATGACATGGCTTTAAAAAGAAAGGGGTTTTTAATTAAAAAAAATGTAACCAAGCAAACAACACTGTAAAAACTTTGGCCTATTAAAGGGCTTATTCTCAAATAAAACAAACTTGAGACAACATGATGTGAAAATATTAATACATTCAATCATAAGGTGAAAATGCTTGCTTCTATGTTAAAGCCATGTTACACAACTTTTTCATATTTTTAAACCATTTTCTCAAGCCAGCATGTGCTAAAATAACCCTTTACAGGGTTAATGAAATGCCACTCAGCCTCCCACCGTCCTCTGTGGCCAGAATACAGCATTTGCAACAACACCGGTATGGTCTGAGCGGACATGGATTGCATATCACTGCAGTCTGGTTCCAGCATGTTTTAGATCGTGAACACAGCTGATTTGTTTGATTTAGTTATGAATCGCTCATGCAGACACTAATGAAGGCTGAGGAGACATTTCAGGCATTAGATTAAAGTGTTAAAAAGATGGACGCATAGGGAGGAGAAAACTTTTGCTTTCAAGTCTACTAAACAGACACTAGGGGGTGCTAAAAGCAACCAAAACTGCCATGTGTGCGTTTCATAAGTTACATAGAGCCAGCCTAAGTTTCAACAAAAGTTTTTTAAAGACAAAACCATAATGCAACTCATTTGAAGTCAGCGCACTTTACTTCCACTCAGTTTAATTTAAACCCAGTTACAAAAGGGCCATTGGGTGATAAACTATGGGGTGCCATTTGTAAAGTCAAACAGTCATAATCTAACAGCAATATTTTTGGTTATTTAGCATACCATAAGAGAAAAAATTGAGAGTTCACTTTTTCAAAGTCATATTTTCACCATGTTATTCATACATTCATAAATGTTAAAGTTTCCAAATAAATATTTAGATAGCACGCTAAATATTTAATTTATAGTTAAATATTTATGTTGCAAACTAAATATTTAGGTCTGATCTAAATACTTAGTTTGTAAAATAAATATTTAATTCACTAACTAAATATTTAATTTACTAATTAAATATTTATTTTGGAAATAAATATTTAAAATTTAAATTAAATATTTAATTTGTAAATTAAATATTTTCCAAAGAAATATTTAGATCCCAGCTAAATATTTATTTTCCATGATGTTATTTAGCTCCACACTATAGTTTATATTTTTGGGTCAGTCTTAAATATTTATTTCCCAAATACTGATTTTGCAAACTAAATGTTTAGCTCCAAAATAAATATTTAGCTGGGATCTAAATATTTATTTCGGAAAATAAATATTTAATTTACAAATTAAATATTTAGTTCCAAAATAAATATTTAATTAGTAAATTAAATATTTAGTTAGTGAATTAAATATGTATTTTACAAACTAAATATTTAGATCAGACCTAAATATTTAGTTTGCAAAATAAATATTTAACTGCAAATTAAATATTTATCTTGCTAACTAAATATTTATTTGGAAAATTTAACATTTATAAATGTATGAATAACATGATGAAAATATGACTTCGAAAAAGTGAACTCCCAATTTTTTTCTCTTATGATATGCTAAATAACCAAAAATATTGCTGTTAGATTATGACTGTTTGACTTTACAAATGGCACCCCATAATAAACAAGTCCTTTTATGAGATTTGATGATATATTAAATCCTTTTAAAGTTGACATTATTATGTAATTAAAAGTAAATTTGAGCATTATTATTATTATTATTATTATTATTATTATTATTATTATTATTATTATTATTAAGTACTGGACTACCAGGCAGGTTAGGTGAAATGGGCTAGTGCCTGTCGTCACCGAGGGTGAGACGGTCGGTGGGGGAGGGATGTGGGAGGGGTTGATGGAGGTAATAGTGCCGAGTTTAGCTCTTTGCAACATGATCCGCGGAGAGGCCGGGCTCTGCGGCGCTGCATCCTGCCCCTCCGCACCACATGGAGACCGGATAGAGCCTCGGTGAACGTGGGCTGATAAAGACACGGTTTACCGTCTTCCTGCTCATTCTGCTGCCCGTGAGGACGCGAACATCAGCAGCTCCTGGCGGATGGGAGTCCGAGTCATGGAGGTGACGGGAAGTGCGACTGGTGCCTATTGCGGTCTGCGTCAAACCTCCAGGAGATGAAGCCTCTTGTGCCTCTTAAAGGACTTTTTGGGTTTGCTTGTTTATTTGTTGTTGCGGGAGTCTATGTTAGTAAACATCCTGCTGAGACAGTGATGGTCTCCTCATCTTCTGCCGCTCAGAGGCTCCCAGCATCTGCATTGTGAGAAGTGGGAGTGGGCGTTTGGAATATGCAGATAGAAAAAACAACAGGTTGAGCTGTGGATTTAAACCAGTCAAGCCCATCTGGATAATTTTTGTTGTTGTTGTTTTTGTTGTTTTCCATTATGAGTTCGGTGTTTTTCTCCGACTGCCCGCCCGCTCCGGTCTGCAGCGTCCCCACCAGCGCCCTGCGTAACGACCTGGGCTCCAACATCCATGTGCTGAAAACCCTCAACCTGAGATTCCGCTGCTTCCTGGCCAAAGTCCACGAGCTGGAGAGGAGGAACAAGCTGCTGGAGACCCAGCTGAAGCAAGCCCTGCAGCGGCCGCAGTGCCGACACCCGTTCGGCCGGGAGGTCGCCGTGCAGACGGACGGTCCAGAGTCCAGACTACCGGGGACCATCTGGAGTTTCACCCACATCCGGAGACAAGGGGAGCGCTTCGAGACCCTGCACGCGCCCGGGGTGACGTGGACGCATCCGGACGGAGTCGGGGTCCAGATTGACACCATCACCCCAGAAGTGAGGGCTCTGTACAACGTGCTGGCTAAAGTCAAGCGAGAGAGGGACGAGTACAAGAGGAAGTGAGTGAAATTATTAGCAATTTTGGGAAATTAATTCAAGCAATAATCATAATAATAATTTTAAAATGGGACCTGCCACCTAGCACAAGATAATGGCCATGTGTTATAGAGGTCCAATTTTGGGGTGGTGTCAGGGTGATGGGGTGACGTTAATCATAATAATGATGATAATAATAATAGTTATCTTTATATTCAAATAACCTTTTGTAGAATTTGTGTAGTTTATTTGTAGTTTTTTCCCAGTTAAGTTCTAATATTGCAAAATGTTGGTGGTCAGTCATGTGATCACGTGATAATTTGGGAAAGCAAGCATAGCCATCTAGCCAGAGCAACGCGAATGCAAGAGTCCAAAGGAAAAAGTGTTTGTCCCAAACACGATCCTAATCAGCAGTTTAATCCACGTTTAGCTCTGAATGAATGAGTTGAATCAGGGTGTCTGTGTGGCTTTCTAAACTCAGCCACACGTCCACCCATCTGGCACCAGCCGACTTTAAATCAGACCAACTGTTGACCTCTTGGCATCGTCTGGCCCTCACAACATCTGCCAGTGCTGCAGTTGAGCCCACAAGAGCCGGGAGTGGTTCGGATCAGGCCCATATAACTCTGTCTCCTAGTGCCTGGTTATAATTAAAAATGTCATCTCACTATTTAAATTTATTTTGATCTACAACAACCCCTCAACAGCTTCACATCTTTTAATCAAGTGTTTTTAAAGACCAACAGGATAAAATAAAGCCAATTTGATGACAGAAGTGAATCATCTGATTTACCCTCAGCGTTTGCCTCGGTGGATGTTTTTGGCTCTTCCTTATCTGGAAGACCTCCGTCTCCTTCACAGAGTCCCACTTAAGCTGATTCATACGAACTGATCCGCTTTTCTCCCACACTTCAGAGGAAATTCCTTTGCATGCCTCAGTTCTCCCTGAATCCTAGCTGTGTTACCTTGGGGACTCACAGCAGCCTCCCAGCCTGGACCGTACGTCACCGCCTGGCCCATTTGGCTGACTTCACCACAGCAGGAGCCGTTCCAAGAAACGCCGGCTTCTGTTCGCCGTCGTGACTCAAGCATCGAGGCATTTTTACAGGCCTCTGTCTGCGTGGTGAGGTCGACCACTGACTTCCCCGTGAGTCACTGACTCATTCACACAGAATGCATGTGCTTCCCCCACTGCTCTGGGAAACCAAATATTCTGTCCTGCCCAGTCCTCCCCGTAACCCAGCTCATCCCTTCTTTTTGTGCGTTTGTGCTGGAGGGGAAGATGACTGGCAGCAAACCGGGACAGGAGCCAGCGGAAACATTCTCTAAGTGAAATCTAAAATGTGGATCTACTTTGCCAAAAATAAAAGCTTTTGACTCAACAAGTAATTGCAACAGTCAGATTTAATTAATTAGGGGTTTGGTTAGTAAACATATTCAGTCTAATAATAATTCAGCATTATTTCTGAAGAAAAGAGGGTTTCTTTACTTTTGTTTTTCTAAAAGTAATGTGGAAAAGTGAGAAATCAAACATATTTCTTGCTTCTTTGGTCACTGATCTCCCCTCACACAGCTATAAGCTCGGCAATTGCACGACAGAGTTCTGTACTCGGTTGTTTTCTTTCTCTCTTGCAGCTTAAATCCTCTTCACAGTCACGTTTAAGCATTCAGTCCTTGCCTGAACCTCGTCTTGCTGTGCCTTTTCTGTCCCTCGCTCTTTGTGCTCAGCCATTCCTTCACTCCACCCTTCATCAGCCCCCCCATCCCTCTGTGTCAAATACAGACTGCTTTGTAAGACATCCTGGCTCCCAAATGGTCCCCCCTCCCAGCTCAGCTCTTCCACATAGTCCTGTTGATTTATTGAAGTATTAAGAGTGTGGACACACACACGCACACACACACACACACACACACACACACACACACACACACACACACACACACACACACACACACACACACACACACACACACGCACAGATCAATGGGCTTGTTTCTGATTCGTACCATGAAGGACTCAGTCACTTATTTTCTGTCACTTTGTCTTTTGTCTCAATCCGATTGGATACTATTTCGCCTACTGTGAGGATAAACAGTATGATTCACAAGCTACATGCTAAATAAGCTAATATTAACTTGAAACACATTTTATTATCAGGACAGTAAAGAAAAACTACAACATTTTCCACGTCATAATTATTAGGGGTGCATCTGCTTTTTTCCTGATATTTGTGTTGTCTTGTTTTATTGTTGTCCTGTTTTTAAGCTTCTATCTTTTATGTTCTGTTTTTTTCTGAATGGTTTGGAAAATGTGCTATACAAACACATTTTGTGTTGACGTCTTATACGATATACATATATAGTCTAACTCCTAATTTTCAATAACGATACAAGGAGCCAAGTCTCCTCCCATTCTGGTCGGTTCACGTGTCCCCGGAACAATGCAAGTGTAGGGCTATAAAAGCTATTTTCTAAACCGCGTTGCCTCACACCCTGAATCAGACATGTTGTACTTCAATTTACATAAGAAGCAATTATGTGCATTTCGACTGTGTCGGTCACGTAATTTAAATTTTATTAGCTTGTAAAAATTTGTAATTGAAATACTACAAATCAGAAGTCACATATTTGACATCCCCACTTAACCTCTTCTCCCCAGTGTTGTTGCTACTTTCCACATGGCCAGATTTATAGTGGTTTTCTCAAAGTTTGATGCTCCTTTTGACATACTGGAAGAATGACTTGAAGCTCGCTAAACTCTTCTTCCCCATGTCTGGTTTGTTGACGTCAATTTCGAGAGACAAACATTTGTAGTGCTCTACGTATTTTCACACAAAACCTAAAACAACTTTTGCTGCCGTTTCAAAGATTGTGTCATTAAAATTCATGGACATCATATGTGAAATCCATGGCACATATCAAACAGAATTAGAAAAGTCTTTACAGCCCCATTGACTTACCTTCATTTTTTCTTCTTTCCGGAGACCCATGGTCTGGAAGTATGGGTGTGACTTAGGCTCCCTACTGACAGCTCCCCATGCCTATATAAAATGAAAACTAAATTATTTTAGGTAACTAACATCACACATCAATAAGACTGAGGTACAAACAAAACCTCAAATGTCATTAAAAATAGCTCAGGACATACTGTTTTGAAAATTCTAATTAATTTGCATCGCCCTTGGAAGTATCTGAACTGGTTCATTTATCATTGCAGCTTTTATTATCATTTTCAGTCTGACAAACAGAAATAACTCATTTTAATTAGTGGGAGGAATTTACATCAAACTTATGATAAGCAGCACGTTATTTTCCCTTTAGAGGTTAGTTCTATGTAAAACTGGGACTTTTATTTTTCAAATATGACTTTTGCAAATAAGTTCATTGCATTTCACCTAACCTTGAAAATCTGGGATTTAAAACCACTTTTTAAACACTTAAACACACACTAGCGTTCTAATTCTCTGCTTTGTTATCAAACAAATCAAATATTTATTCAGAGATTCAATTCAATTCAAGTTTATTTATATACAAATCACGACAAGAGTCGTCTCAAGGCACTTCACATAATAAAGCATTCCAATTCAGGTCAGTTCATTAAGCCAATCAGAAAAAAGTTTCCTACATAAGAAACCCTGCAAATTGCGTCAAGTCACTGACACTAGTCAGCAATCCTCGTATTAAGCAAGCATTTAGCGACAGTGGAGAGGAAAACTTCCTTTTAACAGGAAGAAACCTCCAGAGGATCCTGGCTCAGTATAAGCAGCCATCCTCCACGACTCACTGGGGATCGAGAAGACAGAGCACACACACACACCAACACCAGCCCACCCACATACAAACACACATCCACACACACAACACATATACTAAGTAATGTTTCTATGGTTACATTGTGATTTCTTAGTAAATATTGTATTTTGTGAGGGATAAACTTTATTGTATTTATCCTAGTGAATCTATAATTAAACGGGTAAACTAGTAGTAGCACATTCAATGTCAAAAAAGTAAAGTGTTATTATCAGGAGGGGGAGAATGTTTTTAAATGATTAGCAAGTGTTCAAGATGATGGCCCCCTCCATGAGGCCACCACAGCTCAGCAGAACACCATTGTAGCTTCTTCTGGGGAGAAAAACACTTAGAGAAAAAATAAAGTTAACAGCTGAAATAGCAGGAAATAATACAGTTAAAGAGCAGATTGTAGAAGAAAGTAGTAGAGTGTGGAAAGTGGTCAGTATGTCCTCCAGCAGTCTAAGCCTATAGCAGCATAACTACAGAGATAACTCTGGATAACCGAGCCTTTTAGATGGAGGCATGTGATGTGATGATGGAGAGATGTGGCTTAAGTCGGAGTAAATAGAATAAATACACTCCCCAGAATGATTTGTAGTTACATTTATGCTTTCTAAACCGTTGGCTTTTCTGTACCTCTGTGTGTATCGTGTTGGGTTTTCTGTTAGCAAAGTATTACTGGATGTTCATCACCTGATAAAATTGGAGTCAATCCAATCCAAGATGGCTGCCATAGATCATCAACATTACCAAAGACAACAATGGCTCTAACTCCATTAGTTTTACACATATTAATGTCAAATTTTATGTTAGTAGCTGAGAGTCATAACACATTTGCTAATGTTTTCTTGTTAATTTCCACTATATAAACTTAATTCAAGCGAATGAAAATAATAACTTTATTGATATTTAGAGATGTGATCAAAGTTATCTAACATACTCAGTTTCTAGAGTGTATCAGTTTGAATGTTTACTTTGTAAAGTGCCTTGAGATGCCTCTTTTAATGAATTGACACACTATAAATAAACAAAAATTGAATAGTTTTGTCTAAATCAGCTGCTAAAATAACAATTTTATTAAAAACACAACAGTAACAACACAATTTTGTAAAAATATATTAGAAGTGGCATGGAAAAAAAATCAGCTGCGTCATTTCTCAACAGAATAGTTAAAAATGGTACCATTAAAGGCAGTGGGTGACATGGATTCCTTAAAAAAAACGTAGAACTT